GCATCTGATACCATCTATTTTTCATGTGTACAATCTGCCAGCAGATAACCTCTTTAAAAATACTAGGGATTGGAAATAATCCTTTTGGTAACATGCATCCTCAGAAACACACACATGCACATGCACAAAATCAGAGGCAGGGCTGGGTGGAGAAGGGGTTGGGGATGGGGAGGCTATGGAGTGAAAGGAGCAGGCAAGGATCCGTTACTGCGGAGCTCACTCTCAAGGTGTGTCTGTGGGGTATATTTCCCCTTATCTCTTCTCCATTGTGGGTAACTCACAGTGCTTCTAAGACACAGCTTGTTTTTTGTTTCTGCAGATACCCCCTGCATGGTGTGAGTGAAGACACAATACCAGTTCTTCTTATGTGTTGTACATTTTATGTGACTATAAAAATAAAAATTAATGCCCTGTGCTGCTTACTGTCTACATTTTTTCCTCTCATGTCTTCTCTGAGCAGTCATAAAAACGTTACTTGTGCTGTAGCAGGAATTTTAAGATCAAGGATTTTATTAGCCTGTGGGTAGGCTCTTCTTTCCTGTCTGCATTCAAACTGGATAATTTCGCTTCTGTTAGCAGCAGGATAAAGCCCTGAAAACCAATGGAAAAAACTTCCTTTGACCTAAATGGTACCAGGCCAAGCTTTTAGGCTCCCGTTTTGTGTGTCAAAGACTAATACTGTCATGGGAAGTGTAAGCAGCAGTAGCTTTCCTGCATAGTAACAGAAGACTGTGTTTCTAAAAATTCCTCTACAGAGTGTTTTTGCAGAGTCGCCTCCCCAGAGTTCTCCATCTGTTTTCACGTGGTGATTAATAACAAATTGTTTGGCTAATAAACTGCTCCCTGCTATCTCTGAAATGTGACCATTTCTTTTCCTTCCCTCCCATGGACAGTTATTAGATTCCTGTCTGCTCCTGTGCTCCCACGTGGGAGACATCACGAATATTAGATGCATAGCAATTGTCATGCTTCAGCTTCACAGCAGGGCTTTTAAGGAGTGAAGATCTCAGTATATGGCTGAAAGAGTTGGTGCTGGGGACAGCTGTGTAGTGCTGAGGGCTGACCTTGTTCTTACAGGATGTAAAGAAAAGGAAGAGAGAAAAAATAAGCTTTGTGTACACAACTGTGATTTCTGCGAGAGCCCTTTTTTTTGTTCACAACTATGAAGAAAATAATCCCAGGAAGAATAGGACTGGGGTGTGGACCTGTTTGATTCACCAGCATCCTTGTGGGATGTGGGGCTGATGGTGGTATTTTGAAGTACTGTGTTCAGAAGGTCTGGACCAGGTGGCAGAGGGCATTCCAGCTACTCCACTGGCAGAAACAGATGAGAAAAGAATAAACATCTACTGTGAAAACAGGCTTAAGATGAGGAGGGATCTTTGTGATTTTTTTCAATCTGACTGCTCCCTAATACAAGCCCACATTAACACCTCTTCTGGTCAAGTACTGGTGACCAAACTGCTGCTGAGATACCCAGTCCAGATTTGGAAGTTTCCAGTGGTGGGACACCTCTCCACAACCCTCCCTCATGTATAAGTGGCACCTACCCACTTTGTTAAAACACCTACCTAACGTCTGCCCTGTATTTCTATCTTTCAGCTTTTTATCTTACCACATCCTCCTCTGCTAGATCAAAGAGATCGTCTTCACCATGTTTTTGTTTCTGATGTAGACAGACTGACATCAGATTTTACCTCCTTGTGCCTTAAACAGAATAATGTGGGCTCCTTCACTTCCCTATCCCAAGGGCTCTCACCCAGACACAGCAATGGCGCTTCTTAGGGGCTTGCCCCTCATTGCCCATTGCCTCCCCTCTTCTCAGCTCAGGAGCAAAAGAAGAAGAAACTGAACTGCCACCCCTTGATAATCCTGTTGTTGAGGTGTTTCTTTCTAGTCCTGGTGGTAACTCACAGTGGCAATAGCTGCTGTAGTGGAGGTGGGAATGCCAGACATAGCAAAATAACTCAGGGATCATAGGCATCTTTTGGTCATTAATCAGCATCCCATCTGACCAGTGAGCTGGACAAGAGCTGTACACAGATTTCCAGTGCCTATCTGTGCGAGATTCAAAAGTGGCATCTCCTTGCTTCTCCTCATATAGTCAAGGTTGACATAGTCCTTTAGGCTTTGGCAACACACCAAGAACTGACGCTAGCTTATCATCTACTGTGAGTTTAATCAAGGTCACGGCTGGATAAACTTTAAGAAAAAAAAGCCCAACCACAAATCTTTGCCTGTAGCTTTGTGTTATTTTTAAATGTTACTGGTAAGTCATCCCCTCTTCAAGACGGTAGGGACTGAGCATGGAACTACAGCCAGGAATTTTGGGCATCTAATCCCAAATCAACTTCTGTGTATCCAGACTTTTAGTAGATCATCCCAGCAGTGATGCTTTTGGCTTCTCTGTGGCTCAAGGCCTGCTTTCTTTTCACCACCTCTGGGAGGGGAATCTCGCTGTTGTCTCAGGGGCTCATTAGGCTCAATCAGGTGATTTTAGGATTTCATAGACCTGTTGATCCTCAGATAAAAATGTTAGAGACTATTGTACCTCCTGGATGAATTTATTAAAAAGAGTGAGTTTATTCGATAGAATAAATGTATTCCATTTCCCCATAAAGGCATTTTTAAAAAACACTGAACAAAAGCTTACACAAATTCCAATGGATGTGAAGAGGTCTTGGAGTCCTGCCAATGTTAACACGTTAAGAGCCAGAGCTTGCTATCTTTGAAGTCAGTGGATGGTTTGCTTTGGAGTTAAAAGGGGGAACTGGAAAGCAAAGCATTAGATTTCACTGTCAAGTTTCTTGCATATTCCATTCCTCTTTTTATGTTATGGTATGTGGAAAACTACCTTCCAAACAGATGTAAAGGCCACATTCCTCGTACAGATGAGGTTCAAGGACTGTATATAGGAATTGCTTCTCAGCTCATTTATGAGGTTTTTTTTGGAGGGTGGAGGTGATGAGATACTCTTCCTTCTTTTTTTTGCTCCATTCTTTGTTGAGGTTGGACTTTGGGGTGGAAGGAGAATGTACAGGCAGTGATCGCGAACAACCCCCCCCACTGAACCACGCTTATTTGGTACACCAGACTAGGGCATTCATCATCACTGCCCCTCTTTGTTCTTGCTTCCCTTGATCAACAGTGGAATATTTAAACCTAATTGCTTCTAGGTAGTTCTAAAGTGCAACACTTGACGCTGCAGTGAGGGGAGAGTATTTGCAGTAAATTTAGTATTTTATAGAGCTGTTTTCCGATATGTCTGCAAATTTAGCTGTACATTTTTGTGTGGCAGGTGTAAACTCAGATGGCAATCTAAACAGTCTGTTCCCAGCCATGCTGCAGAGCTAGCTGAGAAATTCCCTGCCCAGTGATTTAGAAGTAGTCCAACTTCTGGGGTATGCTGAATCTTGATTTTTTGAATTCCATTTTTCTCTTCTGATCACTAGGGAAGACTTATTTTCTATAATGCAAAAAATAAGCTGAATTGTTGAGTTCTTTAAAGCCACATAGAGCTAACTTGCCACAGTCTTAGGTATCAAGGTGACACAATTAATTAAAAGTTGTGTGTGTGAGTATATGAGGCATAAATAGTTGATCTAAAGTTTTGCAACAAATTTCAAAACAAACCAGGAAAATCTTATATTTGTGGGAAGATCAGAACCATACTGCCAAATCTAAAAATGCTCAACTTTTTTCTAGCATCTGTTCAAGTAAAACAATTTCCCCAGCATTGTGTGGTCTATAAGTTATGATAACTGTGTTTCTTAGTTTCCTGTTAAAGAGATGACTCAGATACTAGGTAGAAGCTTAATTATTGGTCACATGCATTCTTTTAAATATAAATGTTCATGTCAATGTTCAACAGAGCTCTTCAGAGTTGTTAAAACATTAGTCAGTGTATTCAGATTTGTACCTAAATACTTCATGAATACTTGGCACAGTCAGTTTCTTAAATGTTATGAAATCTGAGAATGATTAATCCTGTGTCTTCCATGTTCACAGAGCAGGATTTGTCTGCCTCGATGCTTGTTTAATTATATGGTTTTTATTTAGGCAGCTTTCCCATAGGTAACAGTGTCACATGATATTGCTGTTAATTTTGCTTGAATGAGGAGTAAACTGAGCCCTTATATTTGTTACAAAGATTTGTGAAGATTCGGGTTGTTTTCCCTGAACAATCAGAAGACTTCGCTGTGATTTCCAATTCCCTCCCCAGTGAAGTCTTCTTAATAGTAATTTTGCTTTGTCCACTGTATATACTGTATTTTTAACATTTGACAACAATACATAATGCTAAATTGGTAAAGTTTGAAACATCATTCATTTTGACATAATTTGATTACTTTTTGTAATATTCTTGTGGTGGTAAATCAGAAGACACTCAAAATGAGAAAGGCTGGCACCAGTATAGCTGTTGTAATGCAGGACGAGTGCAGTGTTTCTGCTGCAGTTGTCTCTATGCCAGTCCATTAAATTAGTCAACATCTTTTTCTTCTATGGTTTCCTTTCTTCATTCTCATGCATGTGGGCCAAAACTATTGTCTTCTGTTTGCTTCCACCATTGCAGAGGAATGTTAAAATCACCCAGTAAGCTGTGTTTGTTTAATCTCTTCTTATAAATGTTAATATGCTTTCCTTTTCCAGTGGCTTTGGTTTGTTATATTTAAAATTGGAACCTGAGAATCAGGACTAGGTGGTATTACAAAACATGTATGGATGTAATAAAATTGATGTTCAAGACAGTAATAAGGATCTTTAGACGATATTTAAAGCAGTTGGAAGTAACCCTTTATAGGAAAATTCAGGCTATTTTTTCTGCTTGGTAAGAAAAAGATACCTTTTCAGCATTCTCTCTTGTTTTAGGCTGGGAATGGAGTGCCGAGTTTGGATGTCAGCAGTGGGACATCTTACCAAAACAAAGCTTCCATGGGACTCTTGTCTAATCAATGACTTCTAAGTGCAGGAGCTGTTAGATTGGAGACAAGTGCTACAGGATGCCAACTGAGGTGCTTGACAGTGGCAGTGGGATGGAGGAGACTATGCAGAAAGAGAGCAAGTCTGGAAGCCACAGCCCTCGCTGTAGCTCCATGAGAAGGGCTGTGGCAACCACTGTCACGTTTGATGGGGAAGCCACTATGGACCGGAGGAAAAAGAAGAAGAAAGAGTCCCGTCCCGAGTCAATCATAGTGTATCGGTCAGAGAATGAGAATAAGGTGGAAGAAGAACAGGTGGATGAAGATGGAGGGGAGAGGAGCTCTGAGGAAGGCTCCAAGTTCCTGGGTCAGTCCATGGTAGATGGTATGTATTCCTGGGAACACCCACTTTCCATAAACTTTTTTTCATGTCAGCATGCACTGAAGTCAAACAGAAGTGACTGTGGGACCAACCCTTTCCAAGCCTGCAGGCAAGGAGAGCTTGAGTTCATACATGAAAACACTCTGAAATAAAAAGCATTACAGGCCGATTTGGGATGCCTCCTGCAGTTCTTTGCAGAGGTTTGTTGTTGCCACACTCTTGGTTTTAAGGGTATGTGCTGGTTAGGGTTGATCCAGAAAAATGCTGAGTATGCTTTAAGCCAGTGATGATCAAGGCACTGTCCATGCCTAAAACAACTGCTTGTTAAGTGAAAGGATGGAAGCAGATGGATTTAGTGGCTCTACCAGTGATAGGGAGTTTTACTCATTATCTAGGATTTGCTGTTGCTTTCTGTTTGCATATTCTCAGCACAGCTTCCTCCTTAAGAGTGATTATTTGACAAGGTCATCGTGGGGCATCTTGGAACCACTTTCACTTCTGAATGTCTGTCCTGGATACCCTTGCAGGGAAAAAATGTGGGAGGCAGGCCCTATGGCTAATCCACTTGTGAGTCAACAGCACAGGCTGAAGGGCTTAAATGCGAATGCATGCTCCTGGCCTGTCAGCTGCACCAGATTCCCCCATGACCCCAACCACATCCTCCTGGCTTATCTGCTGCCTTCTTATTTTTGTGGGCCACTTCAAACTGCTCAGCTTCCTTTTAAGAGCCTCTGAAGACCTCCTTCCAAGCTAGTCAGAATTAAGACCAGGAGGAAGCATAATTTAGCCCTATAGAAGAGTTTATGGCCAGTACCACTGCAGGGACCACCCTAAACCAATGGCAGTTGGAAGCTAAGCCAGTCTGTTCATGACTTTAACACACATCCCAACACTTTCCTGTTTGGTGCCTTTGTCGATCCCTTAAAATGCAAATATAATTATATAAGATTTTGTAAGGATTTTCTAAACTTAAAATTAATTTGCATTGGGGTACAGTGCAAATGTAAAGTGAAAGAATAGCTATTCAAGTATAACTCCATGTGTGGATGTGCTTATTCCAGAACAAGAGTCTTAGTCATGTTTATGTAATTCACCCCAAGTGTCCACGCTGTTCAGGAATAAATCCATGAGGGTACCAGAGAAAATAGGCATACCATTTGTTATTCACTTACTGTGTCTTATCGCTTTTTCATATACTCCTGCAGCATGTTCCCTTCACACATTGTACCCAGTACAGATGCTGGATCAGAATCTCCCTTGTGATTTCTGTCACCTGGAATTCCTGTCTTCTCCCTCATTAGCTCTTCTTTGTGATAGTCGTTATACTGCATTGCTTCTTGCATGCCATCTTCTTTAAATTTAACTCCATATGCACGATCTAATTATCTTTGAGGTCTTTGGGGATTTACACAAAATACTCTGTACAGAAAATAAAACTAATGTAGATGAGTTTATCTGTGTTTGTAGGTGTCTGGAACATGCCTTTAGACAGCCGATATGTCACCTTGACTGGAACAATCACCAGGGGAAAGAAGAAGGGTCAGATGGTAGACATCCATGTCACACTAACAAACAAAGAGCTGCAGGAACTCACTAAGTCAAAGGAACCTCCTAAAGAAGATGTACCTGAGAAGAAGAAAAATTGTGATGTTGGACTGGACAGAGGACCCCACATCGTCCTCTGGACCATCATCTGCCTCCCCATCATCTTTGTAGTGTCCTTTGTGGTTTCATTCTACTATGGAACCATTACATGGTATAACATCTTCTTGGTGTACAACGAAGAGAGGACCTTCTGGCACAAAATCACCTTTTGTCCCTTTTTGATCATCTTCTACCCAATTATAATTATGGTTGTGTCTTTTTCCCTAGGCCTGTACTCGGCTGTGGCCCAGGTAGCATGGTCCTTCGGGTACTGGTGGCACGCTGTCAGGGATATGGAGAAGGGCTTCTGTGGCTGGCTCTGCAGCAAGCTGGGTTTGGAAGATTGTTCTCCATACAGCATTGTCGAGCTCCTAGATTCTGACAATATCTCAGGTAGTCTCTCTGGTAAGAGCTCTGCGCAGGGGGTTGAGACCTCGGCAGTCTGAGCCTTTGTCCTGGCTGACTATTTTGGTCATATGCGAGTGGTTTTCATCTGGAAAATAACACTGATTTTTTTTTATATACATATATATATATTTAAACACAATCTTAATGAATAAAGTATTGGGCTGGGAGTGCTCTTTAAATGTCACAGAATGCAAATGTGCTAGCTTCCTGTGGTCTGGGTGAGGAGGTGCATGGCTCTCCAAGGATTTGTTTTAGCTGATTACAACTTTGGGGAATGGTGAGAAAATCCAGGCCTGTGGGGCTTGGGCTGTTTGTGGGGTGGCAGAGATACACGCTGAAAAGTCCGCTTCTGTAAAGTTAGACTTTACTTCTAAGGAATGGGACAAAACAGTGACCTGTCGACTCAGTGAAAAGGTGTCTCTACTTGGGGGATGACCTTCAGGAACTAGGAAATTATTCAGAGGTGAAGGCTAAATTACAGAACGCAATATTCCTGCAGTTTTTCTAGAAACGGTCTTTTTCCAGTTGTTCTAACAAATGCAGCAAACCTTCCACATAGGCTAACTGCTTAGACACTGTCAGAGTTTGAAAAACAGACCACTACAATAGTTGTGCCCAGCCTTTCACTGGGAGAGGACAGCGTAGCCTCCAAGAAAGGTACATGAGCTCTACCTGAAAAAAACCCATCACGTGATGGAAGAGCAGGGCTTGCTCTTTAATGTGGTGTGTAGGGACCTGAAAGGCCTGTCACCAAGCACCCTCAGGAGACTGTAGGTGCACAGATAGGTGCTTTGGACACATCTGCATTTGATCTCTTGATAGGTGCACTGCTAGGAAGGAATGGGCAATGGGAGTCGTACACAGCGTGCAGTGCAAACAGTTGCATTGTAGGGAAGAAACATCTGCTCTGAGGAAAGGTGATCAGTTTGCGTGTCACTGCAATGCAAGTGTGGACTGGTGGCACTTGTATTTAGGGAAGCAGAGTGGAAGGTGCTTGGGACAGGAGGGTCTCACTGAAATGGTCATTCTGTATTTCAAGTTCTTATGGAATAGCTGCTAGACCTTCCCTTTCAGAATGGGGG